AATATTTTTAAAAGGAATTGGTCTCCCAATCAGAGAAAAATGTTTCCTCAAATCTTGAATTAAATGTTTTTATGAGCCAGGCACTATTGGCAATAAATATGCTGTGCTCTCTTTCCTGAATCTTAACATATGTATTGTGGAATATACATCTCAGAAAAATCTTAGATGGCTCATTAATTCTCTGATCCATTTCTGCATGCACTACTGATATGAAGGTGACCTTTCACAAATCAAGCTATACATATAGCAGAGAGTTGTCCCTTCTTTCTACTGGAGAAATTTCATTTTTAGTAAAATGTTACTAGCTGAAGAAATAAGCTTTCAGCTGCCTTCATGTCTTAGACTCGATAAATGATAAGGATAGGGTATTTATCCCATGAGTGAACACCCTGAAGCAGTTATATGTGGTTGGCTTAAAGGAAATCTAAGAATCCGTGTTTGACAGATTGGCCACTTTCCAAATGAGAAATCAATGACTTTGTATTCTGGGTAAAGAAAAGCCAGGATGGTTTATGACTTGTTCTACACATACTGTGGATCCAGCCAAGCTCTGAATTACACACAGTTGAAGACAGTAAGAGCAACATCCCATGCCCAGTGAGGCCTTCAGCAACATAAGGTACATTCTGTCAGGACTCTGCACAGACAGTGGCTTGCTAGATTTTGGAATTCAGCCTGTAGAAAGACAAATATATATAGCAGGAAAAGAGAAAGAAAATAATGGAGGGTTTCTATGCCTAGGATAGCCAGCTAACTAGATGCAGGCTGGTTTTGGACTAGCACATGTCTTCACAATACCCGTAGCATTCTGAACTGAAATTCTATTTAGCTGTAAAAAGCAATGCTTGTTTACTGAATTATTGGTAAAAAAAATCCAAACAAACAAACAAAAAAGCACCAGCCCAAAACCCCTCAAAAGCACAAAAAAATCTGATGTGGAGGCTTTACACTATTTGGTACACCATTGCTACAATTACATAGAAGCAGACAGAAAGGATCACATATTCCGCGGGATTGATCATGATGCTCAAACAGAAGAAAAAACAAAGGAAAAAAAAAAGAGGTTATCTAAACTCTTAAATTATAACAATGAACTCAACCAACCAGACATAGAACTTAGTCATGCTTTTCCCAGCATTTTGTCGTGTTTTTTACAGAAACATGAATAAAATCATTTACCTCTGTTACTCTGGCCTTTAAGACAGGATTGTTTTAAAAAAACTCAATCCCAAAATTTTACACTCTTCAGATTTTTTTCTCTACTTGTATGCTCAAGCAGTGTTTTGATCCTTCGTATTGAGCTGGCAGTTTTTGAGAACTTATACCCTCACTTAAAATGTTTTTGGTGAGCTCATACCAGTGTGCTAAACCAAGGTATTCAGCTCCATGTTTCTATGAGCAAATAACAGCCTGTAGGGATTCAGCACATCAGCTGCTTAAAAGATAAACCTACCCAGCTTGATGAAAACTCTTCACCACCTTCCTGTTGAGAGAAAACGGTTACACATTTCTAATAAATGAAGCAGGAACTGTCATTTTTTTGGCAAACTGATAACTAGCTGTAACAGCCGCATTGCCACAAGTTGCTTTTCCAAAGTAATTACCATCAGGCTCCCTGCGGTATGCAGTGTTTAACACATTTCTTCTGTGTTAATGAATGCAAAAGCAGGCAACACCACTATTAGTAATTGCTTTTTATTCGTAGTCCTCATTTTCCAGATAGGTCACATTAAACACAGCCATTAAACAATAGCGGTTGAGATAATCCATACAATGTATGCTGCTTTTGTTTGTTTGTTTGTTTTTTCTGTCATTCACCAGTCATTGGTGCAACTTTGAGCCATATGGGGAGACAGGGGCTGATAAATGCGAATGTCAACCTGTATCACAATTGGGCCAGAGAAGTCAAAACCTTAATCAGGTTTCATTCAATTACACTTCAAATCAACAAATCTTGATAGCTAAAACTCCCATTTGAATTAATGCAATAATAATCACTGCCTGATGTCAAAAGAAAGTAATTAAACAATAATGAGTGGGCATATATTATGCTAGGCTTCAGACTCCTTCTTGACCTCAGCAATTTCCCTTCCCTTGGACAGTAAGCAGCTTGAAAGTTTGTTTGAATGACATACCCTGCTCCACTGTGAGCAACGTTTGAATTCTAAGGGTAACTTAGACTGGGAAACCTATATTCTCAAGTGGCAAATCACGATTCAGGGTATTCTATTTCCTGATAAATATGCAAAAAACAGAAAAAAAAAAAAAAAGGTCTGATTTTGAGTCCTGATTTGATTAGCGAATTGTTTGAGGAACTCCCAGTTGCTGGCTTTCATTAATAAAAGACGAAATAGAATGCCTTATTCACTATTCACAGTGTACAGTACAATTTTATTAGTTACTTAACTTGTCTCCCTTAACTCTGCCATTCTCTTCATAATCATGTGGCAGATATTTTCTTTCAGTCTTATAAAACATGTACGTAAGGAATAAGAGAAATAACTCATAAACTTTATCTTTCGTTGCTGCCTCTTTCTCCAATGGCGATAGTAGAGATAGCATGGAGAAAAAATACTTCCTTCACACACAATCATGTTAATTTTGACTGAACCAGCAAAACTCACATTGTATAAGCTCTGCTGGTTTATTCATTCTTTATGTATCCATTCTAAATTGTCAAAGAGATTTTTTAACCTGGGATATACTTATTGGAAGCAGTATGCCAGAGATCTACAACACAAGGCAGTTGTCAGCCAAATTAAATAAAAGCAAGATTTCCTAAACTCTTCTATAAAGCTATGAGTCATGAATTCTGAATTACCTCAGAGTGGTAAATAAATAATCACTACTAAATACAGATAATGTGTTAAACAGCTAAAGCTAGTAAATCACTAGTGACAGAGAGCCTTAAGGTAAATTCCTCTTACATTGGCACAGCCCTTTCTCAGAATGTTGTGGTTTTATGTCTTCAGAAACATACAATGAATTGTACAATTGGTTACTCAGTGTTAAAATCATTTATAAAATACACAAATCTCCATCACTTGACTGCATTTACATACTGGCTTAGATTTTGCTGAATAATGGTTCTCACTGGCAGAGCTAAAGACTTGGTGCACAGACACTGAAGTGATGGGCACCACGGAAATACGTATAAGAGACTGATCAAACAATAAGAAATCCTCTCCACTATGGAATTTCAAGCTATCAAGCTATCAAGCAAAACCAATCTTGGGTCTCCTGGCCAAAAAGAAAAAAAAAATAATATAACACAGACAACACCACATTTTAGATACATAAATTGTTCAAAACATGGAGAGTAGCTTGATAAAACATGTACAAGATCCCTTTTTAAAATGCAATTGTAGACTTTTTTAACAGCAGGAGCTAGAAGAAAACTGTCAGAATGCTTGTCTCCCAAATACAGCTCATTGTAGGACTGCCTTGCTAAAAACACCATTTAACAGCAATTCCAACATCAAAACAGGGTTTGGGTCGACTTTCTTTCTTAAATTGATTAAAAACTATGGCTTTGTGGGATTTGAGATTGCCAACCTCTTTTATATATTTTTCTATAGTACATACTATATTCAATAAACCAAATACAGCATTTTTAAACAATGTGCCATAGTGATATTTCCAAAAGAGTATCTGAAGTATGTAAGGGGCAACTCCTGAGATAAACATTTTTTTCTTCTGCTTCTTATTCTTCTCTGTAAGTTCATTTTGAATATGGATTGTTTTCTACTTTTATCTGAAGACAATTTTGAATTTTTCAAATGCAATAAAGACACTTTTAGAAAAAATAATAAAAAAGTAGGAACTATATCCCAAGTTATTCTGCAAATACTTTTCAGAACCAATGAAGATCAAACTGAAAACAATCCCCCCAAATATACAGTGTATATCTAGAACTGCAGTAAGCAATTGCACATTCTCAAGAATCAAATAAAATACCGCCCATGCCACATTGGCACTGACAAGTTTTTCAGCTCTAAGAACTCAATAGCAAAACTTTGAAAATGGTGGCATCTCTTAAGAAGTCAATCAAATATCCTACATTAAATAGGTTGGTTGCATGTGTTTGAAAATAAAAACAAAAACAAAACAAAACAAGGAGGTTCTAGATGTTGCTTCGAGTGTAATTTTTGTTATTAAACATGAGTTTGCAATAGAAGCTTCCACAAGGACTTGCACATAACCATGACTGATGGATGTACTCATAGGCCGTTCAGTTAACTCCATCAGCTCACTCAAACACATTTTGAACAGATTATGTACTGCAGTACTTCGTAGACCATACATTAAACAAGAGACTTTGCTCTGAGGCGCTGCTTCCCACAATCCATGGGGAAAAGGAAGCAGGAAAAAACAAAACTCATAGAGTTCGACAGCTACCGAGGCAACACTTGCCATTTACAATATAAGCCCAAATATTTTTGCAACACAACTATATATTAATTTAATAAAATACACAATATAGCTCTTATACACTGAACAATTTGGCTCATATGCACTGAATCTGCAATAAATCAATAAAAATATGTCATTTGATGTAAACACACTGAATCTTCTTACATTTGCACATTTAAATGATCATGTGATTTGTGTGGATGTCTAAGACATTTTCACTTTCCTGAGCTATTTTAGTGTCCACAAATGAATAAAAAAGTGTTAATAATGTTAATTTCTTTTGTGTATTACCCTTAAAGGTAACCTTTTTTTTGTTTCAAACTTTATTTCACTTCAGTTTTCTTAAAACTTACCACTAGCTATTTATAGTTTTGTTGGACACTAAAACGCTAAATAGATATTAAAATCTTTTCTTTTTTTACCAAGTGAATTAGCTTACGTGTGTGCAGGACAAGATGGACTATATCATTTTACATTTTACCTTAATATGATATGAAGTGTTTTACTAATGATCAGGATATGTTTTGTTGAATAATGGTCTGGAATGGTTTTTTTTGTTGTTTTCTTGTTCTTTTTTTTTTTCATATTTGTGGCAGATAGATAACTTTGTACATAAATGTTTACCACAAATGAATGTTAATGTTTGGTGTCACTTGGACTACTACAAGAACTCTTTAGGACTTTCAGTAGAAGCCTGTGGTCACTGCTGGAAATCCACCACAGATCAAAATTATTCAACCCTGTTTTTCTTGGGGTTTATACGTAAACAGTAAAGTCAGCATCAGCTATTGAGGACAGTCTTAAAGTATCAGACATATTTCCATTCCACCTTTCTCACACCTTCTTATCAGATTGTCAAAATGGCACCGTCTTTCCTTCTTTCATTTTGTTCTCAGTGTACTTGACTCTGTCCTAATGAAAGTTTGGTCAAAATGAAACCAGTGTTATCTGTCAAAAAGAAAGAGCAGTGAAAAGAACATACTTGTGGGCACTTCAGATGTTCACTAAAAGCCTTAAAGCAGCATTGGTCTTCCTTCATTCCTGTAAATCTGTTACAACCAGGGATTTATTTATTTATTTACTTTTAATCAGCAGAAGAGGAACGTAACTGCCAGCCTGTCCTTATTTTCCCCCTCACTTTCTGACGGCCACAGGATCGCTTCCCCGACAGTCCTGCAAGAGCTTGTCTATTTCTCTCACAACTTCCTCAGCATCCACCGACTCCCTGCCTAGATCCCGGGCTGAACGGTCTAACTGCTCCAGAACAGAGTCCATCTCACTGGAGTCTCGGCTCACTCGGGAATGCACATCTGCAAAGGCCCTAGCCATCTGATCTGATGCAATGAAGGGAGCGTCTTTTGACTGTTTACTAGGAGATAGATACTGACTGTCAGTTGACAAGTACTGGCTGCTTGGTTCAGCCAAGGCTCCTGATTTCACTTCGCAACCATCCAGTGGTCCTTTTGTTGAGGTGCAAGGCTCAATGCATGTCTTGGTTGGGCTGCTCGATGCTGAGGGAACCTCCTGAAGCAGAGGACTCAGGGCACGTTTGGCTTTTAAGTAAGGTTTAACATTGGCAATGAGAATAGTGTGCTCTCTCTTGTCTTTCCCAAATGTACAAAAAGTCTTTTTCCCGGTGGGGTTCACAGTTTCGTATGTCTCAGTCTCAACATTAGCTTCAACTGTGGGTACAAAGAGATTTGTGCGATAATCTGCATTCTCAGCCTGACTGGCTGCAGGGAACTGTGGCATCCAACACCTGTCAGAATGACCAAGCACTCTGCATTCATCTGTGCAGTTAACACATTCTTCTTGCTCTGTAAAACAAAGGAGAAAGAGAAAAAACTGTAATTATAAGTGGATTTCTTTAAACTAAGGGATAGGCTATGATCAACACATGATGGGCTTACTTGACATCTGGTTTCTTAATTACGGAGAAAAAGAAGAAGCTATAATTAAAATATTTCAGAAGGATTGCATAAACCTGCTAGTTGAGACAATAGATTTATTTAACTCTGTTCTCTAGGTATTAGAGCATTCACGCAGCCCAATGGAAGTATAAAGGGGTCATTAGAGAATCATTCTCAGTGGAATTGAGCTTCATCTGTAAACTAATCTGCTGTAGAAATCTGTTAGGCTTTGTTCTGTAAAACTCATCCTAGAGAAGAGTGAACAGTACTTAAGGAATTCAAAAGGCATTATCAGGATTAATTTTTCAAATCAAATAACTGAGCAATGACTGCCTTTCTGGAAATACAAACACTTCATAAAAATCAGCAAGCTGGCTTTTCATTTTTGTCACCTCCATTTCATTTATAATTGTTATGTTGTGTGACAGTCACAAAATAAAAAGGTTTTCTTAAAAAGCCTACTTTTCATGCTGAGAACAGAGAACTAGAATTTTTCCATCAGTATGCATTAAATATAAGCTTGTCAAAAAGTGCATATTGCAATTTTATTAGACATGAGTATGGATCATGCAATCAGTTTTCCCCCTTTTTGTTTTGGTGCAAGTAAGTGAAAATGGATTTGCTCAATGCATACGGTTTGGAAGAATGACAAACTGTAACACACTATTTGAACTGATAATGTTTTCAGATAGGATTTCTATATTCTTATTTCTTTCAAAGAATGTAGTTTAAAAAGATTATTTTCTTCACTACATTTTTTAGAAAATAAATTTTGATACTTCCTGTTCTACAAGTCAAAGACATAAAGAAAACTTTCTGCTGTAAAAACCTTAGCTTGTCTGTCATTTTATGCTCATAGAATATGCCTGGGCCACCATTTACCATTTTATAATTGTAGACATGACTCTAACTCAATGTCAGGGATAAGAAAAATTCCAGAAATACCCCTTAAATCTGTTTTTTTTTAGAAAAACACAACTCTGATCCAAGTTTTTTTCTTTTTTTTCTTCACTGTACTCTCTAGCCAATACTGATAGAATAAACCCTTTTATTATCTCTAGGTTTCAATCAGCTATACATGGATCTTTATCTGTTAAGCATTTTCTTCCACAAAATGGGCAGATGGGTTCAAAGATTCATTTTATTTGAGGAATTTAGTATTTAAAAAAGGCCTGGAATTCAATTTGTTAGACAAAATGTCTAACAAAATGTCTACCTTTAAATATAAGGATGAAACACACACACAAAGAGATATGCACAACAGGTCTTCAGAAAAGCAGAACAAACTGGTTGACCCAAAGATAGGGAAAAATTAAGAGAACATCATCTTTCTAAATGAGAAAATAAATTTCTAGTAATATTATAATACCATCACCAGATTCATGGACAGTTGCACTTCAGAAACCTGACACAGAAGAAACACGAAAGGTGATCTATGAGAATCCAATAGTGTAAACATCTTTAACTGCTGACGTTTCTAAAAAGACATGAATAAATGTGACTTAAATTTAAATAAAATTGTGTTATGTCACAATGATCAGTTAAATCGGGGTGAAATAATTTTTTGAGAACTGATTCTTTTAATGATACAGTTCTGTGAAAAAGTGTCATTCTGTATATATGTCCCATTTCTTGAAGAGTTTAAAATCTAAGACTGGTGTAAGGGCTAAAAAAATAACAAAAGCAAGAGAATGAGGTACAGGGAGAGGAGAACACAGAGTGATTTTTGACGAAAAAAATGGAACAGAAAGACTTTAAATATAAAACTCATAGAAGTGAGTCATCCTCACCTCTATGGCTGGTAAGATCATGGAACAGGTCTTCCTGGAAGTATATCAAAACATACGGAAGACAAGGAGGTGATTAGAGACAGACAAGGCTTCACCAAGAGCAGATTTTGTCTGACTAATATAGTGGCCTTCTATGAAAGAGTGACTGCATCAGTGGACAAGGGAAGAGTTACAGATGTCATCTACCTAGACTTTTGTAAGGCCTTTGATACTGTCCCCCACAATATTCTTGCTGCAAAATTGGAGAGATACGGGTTTGATGCATGTACTGTTAGATGGATGAGGAATTGGCTGGATGGCTGCATCCAAAGGGTTGCAGTCGATGGTTCAATGTCCAAGTGGAAACCTGTAAGGAGTAGTGTCCCTCAAGGGTTCACATTGGGACCAATATTGTTTAATATCTGCATCAATGATTTAGACAGTGGAATTGAGTGCACCCTCAGCAAGTTTGAAGATTACGCCAAGCTGAGTGTTCTAGTTGATTTGCTAGAGGAAAGGGATGCCATACAGAGGGGCCTTGACAGGCTTGAAAAGTGAGCCCATGCAAACCTCAACAAGGCCATGAGGTTCAACAAGGCCATGAGGTTCAACAAGGCCAAGTGCAAGGTCCTGCATCTGGGTCCAGGACACCACCAAAATCAATACAGACTGAGGGATGAATGAACTGAGAGCAGCCCTGTGGAGAAGGACTTGGGAATACTGGTGGATGAAAAATTGGACATGAGCCGGCAATGTGCGCTCACAGCCCAGAAAGTCAATTGTATCCTGGGCTGCATAAACTGAAAGAGGGTAGATTTAGATGGCACATGAGGAAGAAACTCTTTAATGTGAGGGTGGTGAGACACTGAAACAGGTTTCCCAGAGAAGTTGTGAATGCCCTATCACTGGAAGATTTCAAAGTCAAGTTGGACAGAGCTTTGAGCAGCCTGATCTAGTGCAAATATTCCTGCCCATGGCACGCAGGTTGGACTAGATGATCTTTCAAGGTCCCTTCCAACCTGTATGATTCTATGATTCTATGACCTCTATGGAAAAAAAGTAAGCTGCACACTGGTTTTAGTGTACAATAAAAATTAGAATTATCATAATGGAAAGCAAGAGTACAAGACAACTCCAGCCTGGGAATGTAACACAATGACAGAATCAGAAAGAGTTTAAGGAAGAGATTTCAGTTTGTGGTGTATTTTACTTCACTTGAATGAGATGGCATTGGTATGCATAACCATAGGCACAACATATGTGGTGACAATTGCTTAATGAAAAGGGAGCCATACAAGTAAAGGACATTGCTATACACCTCATTCCACCCATTAGTTCGCCTCCACTAAAGTTTTCTGTATCTGATTTTCCAGAGCTTCTACAGCATCAAACAGCTGCTGCTTAAAAACAGCCAAGTGAAACTGCTACTCCCTTTCTCCAAAAAAAGGAAAACATAAAACTCCACAAACCAAAACAAATCAAAATACTTTAAAAGGAGCATGGGGCAAGAGCATTGGAGAGAAAGGTTCCAGGCTTCAGCTTTGGAAGATCTGTTTTTTATCACAGAAATCCAACAGAAGTAAACAAACAAAAAAATGCCCAAAGCGCAACCCTTTCAACGTCAATTCTTGAACTTTAGATTTTGTAAATGCTTGCGATTAATTAATTTGGTTCTTTTTCTCTTCATCCTTACCCTACAGAGTAGATTTGTGGCAAGCTCAGTCTCTAGCTTTAAAAGTGGACCTATATAGTAAATTTCTAAATTTATTTTTCTCTTATATGGAATTCACGACAATGCTGAGTAAAGGTTTTCTGGCATTTTTAAAGATTTCCTTAAGCAATTAATCAGCTTTCCAACTAACTTTTATTTTGTAAACTTAACCATCCTTTGTATGAATTCTTGTAAAGAATTTTTGTCCTTTTTTAACAAAAGAGTAAAATAAAAACATACTGTATGTTAGCTACTGTAAAATGCTCGAAACTGCACAATCAATGGACCAACAGTTCTTTCTGCTGCTCTCTCTCTTTTTAATTATTTCATCAAAGCAGGACTCCTCTTTGCTCCTTTCTTTCTCCCAGAAAAAACAAAACCAAAAACCAAAACCAAAAACAAACAAACAAAAAACCTCTTTTCCTGTAAAACTTTCTAAACATATTTTACTGGGTCAAGAGCTCATATTGTACTGGGAGATCACCAATGAACACAATTGGGAAGATTTCAATACATTTCAGCCCACTTCATTAAACCTCAAAAGGACCACGTGCAGCAGGAAAACTCTTCCTGCCTTTCAGGTAGTAGTTTTGTGTCATACTGTCTTAAAATATATTAAATAAATGTTCATATATTTATATACAATTCTCTACTATCTACATTGACAACATATATATGTGTAACTGAAATAGACAACTGGGAAATTCTATTTTGACGTCTCTTATTCTAAAACTTGACTGAACTGTATTTGTTAAAAAAAAAATAAAAATAAAATCATTCCCTGAACTGAGATTGAAATGAATAAACTTTAAAAGAAAAGTAAAGAGCAGAGCAACAACAAATTAACTACACTAGGTATTCAGTGCTGTGCCAAAAACTATGCTTTGAGATTTTCAGGACTGATTAGGTCAATTTTGTTATAACCACATTACGTTCTAAGATTTAAAGTTCTTAGCTCTTATACATATGTGTACACATACACTAGGTACGAGGATAATACAAAGCATTTACATTATTTATTACTGTCAATAAAAATACAAAGTTTGCTGGCAATCTCTGAAAGAGATATATATCATACAGCATATATATGTTATATATATTGCATGCTGTATCTTCCTTCCCCTTCTCATTTCCTGCATTTGTTAAAGCAGTTTTTATACTTGCATTCATACTCACAGTATTGACTAACTTTCCATTTCTGCTCCCTGGGCATCCTAGCAGTGACTGAATTAAATATGAAGCCAAAAAAGTAGAAGAAACAAATACTGAATGACCTTGAAGTGAAAATCACCTGCATTGCATGAGCTTTGGTTCTCTAGTCTTGAAAATCCATGTCTTTTCCCTTCATTCTTTTATGTCACATCATAGGAAACGGATTTTGAGTATTGATTACCATACATTATAAGCTGCTCGTCTCACCATTAGCC